CTGGGATATTGTTTGGGAGGTAGGGGTCTTATATAGTCTAATCTAGTTTAGTTTATATTCTATTGCAGGGGTGGGAAATTATTTGGGCCTGTGGGCCACATATGGAGTTTTGGTAGGCTGCCATGGGCTGGATCAGCATACCCTTCCCTCTCTTCTGCACAACTCACCAAAACTCTTTAAGTGACTCTTCTTCACTTTTGACCAGGCAGCTGAGATGCAGCTATAGATGGGCAGGGAGTGGTGTTTGAGAGAGGGATGAGCAGGCAAGGCTGGGATCACAGGGTGGGATTGCAGGGCAATTGAAGTGTGGGTCCAGGACAGAGCCATGATCTGCTGCCCACACACTCTTGTAACAGGTACTGGTCTTGTGGGAAGAGGCACGCAGGAAGTGGATTGCAGCTCTGCCCCAAGCCCTGCCCCCACACTGTCACTGCCACATGATCCTTGCCTTGCCCAGCTATCTCACAGCCAATGGAACCTGGGAATAACCCAATAACACCACTCCCCACCTACCTGCAGCCCCATCAAATCTGCCTGGCCATGTGCCCTGCCCGCACACATCCCACCCTCGGCGGTGGGTGCAGGCTGGACTTGCTGGGGTGCCTGGGCAGCAGGGATGGGTATGGCAGCACCAGCAACCAAAAGGAGCTACTGCCACTGGGGCCTCTGGAAAGAAAGTCTGGCTGCTGCGCCACCCCAGCTCCACTGCACACTCTGGGATGGCAGGACTGGCCTCACATGCCATGGTGTGGGCTGTCTCCTACACTTACTCTGGGTGGGACTGAGAGACCCACCATGGGCTGGACAGAAATCCCTCAATGGGCCAGATCCAGCCCCCAGACTACATTTTTCCCACTCCTGCACTATTGGTTTTTATAAGTTTTCCTGTTTGTGGTAGTTTTTTTTGTTTTGCTTTCATGTTTTTTTTTTATTTTTTAAGTTTGTTTTGCTCCCTCCCTGCAAGCTACTCTGCACCTTTGTCAGGAAGGGCAGTATATAAAATAAATAAATCCCTTTCTACTGAGTGGTTCTTCGGGATGATTAGGAAAGTCCTACTGATCTTTTCTGTTGTCCTCCATTTTGTTCTCTATCAACTCACTCTGTATTTGAAATTGGTTGAGATATACAGAACATTGGACTCTACCTGACTGTAGAAACCAATAATCAGAACTTTGAAACTTCAATAGTGGATAATTCCTAATATCAGAGGAAAATATAAACAAAATACACTTAATTTTGCTATGTCATGATAGAAATGTCATGGTTTTATTGTTCTTCCTCCCACTTTTACCCAGGCATCCTGCCTCTTCTCCACAAGATCTCAATGTGACCAACTATACAATATTTCTGTCAGTTTTTTACTCTTCTCCACCACAATCAGAAATCACATTCTAAGTTTCTTAAACCTCAGGTCATCGAGACGTATACAAAACCTATTCCTAACTAATTAATTTGCATCATCTTCCACTGAGGTCAATGCCAAACACAGCAAGAAAAAAAAACAGCTTTCACTCAGAGAACCAAGGAGAAGCAGTACTACTGAAGTTTTACTACTCTTGTGACCATTAAGAATTATAAGTGTAACCACAGAGGCAGCAATTCTGAATCCTTGTGCTGTAGTGACAGCAAACATATCTTTCAGTTGATAACTCCATTTGCAACTGTCTAGAAATTGAATTCAGGGAGTCTTTGTACATTAGCCTACATTGTTTTTAGTCATTTTTGTCAGTGGTAAAAGGACTGCAAAATGTTATCATATCAGAATAGTACCTTTACACACCCATGTTTTCATTAATATGAATGGTTATACCTAAGGTCAGCCAAGAGCAGGGTAATGGGGAATTAAGTAGAGGGTGATTTTTCAAAAAAAAAAAAAAAATCAGGCTTCTAATTGTAATCCTAAATGCCTTTTAACAAATCTAAAAAGAATAGTCCTATTTTCACTATTAAATCTTCTACTATACATCATACTGACAAAGAGCAACAATGCAGTCTCACTGCCTTCATGCAAGCAGCATGCAGGACTTTGCACTTGTCCTTGTTGGACGTCATTTGATTAATTGCAGACCATTTCTCCAGTTGATCTAAGTTATTCTGGAACCTACCCCTACTCTCAGGAGTATCTGTAACTCCACTCAACTTGGTCATCCACAGATTTGCTAAGTGTAAACTCAATTCCATCATCCAAATTATTAATGAAAATATAAAAAATACTGGACCCAGGACAGAAGCCTGGGGAAACTCACTTGAAACCTCCTCCTAGATAGATAGAGTCATTGATTACTACTGGTTGAGCACGATGACCCAATCAGTTAAGTATCCATATTACAGTATTTTCATCTAGACTGTATTTCTTTAACTTGTTAATGAGAATGTCTGCATTAAAACACTAATATGTGAATATTAATAAGTACTTGGTTATTTACCAATCTCACCCTCTAGCCAACAAAATTAAAAGTTTAGCATTATTAATACATTCCAAATTATTTATATTTTATATATTACTCAAACATTGACATTATAGAAGTGTTTTAAGAGATGAGTAAAAAAAAAATCTCTGAAGCCCTGTTCATATTTCATATTAAACTCCAAAATTACATATTATTACAATATGCTTTGAGCTCAGGCTCATTCATAGGATCATAGGAAAGTAGGGCTGAAAGGGAGCTCATGAGGTCATTTAGTCCAGCTCCATTTTCAAAGCTGGATCACCCCTGACTAAATCATCCCAGCCAAGTGTTTGTCTAACTTGCTTTTGAAAAATTCCAAGGTTGGAAATTGTGAATCATGAATCACTTCTTCCCAGATACATGCAATGTGATTTTTGTGCATACTTAATACCTAGTTAATATTTGAGCTTCCTATTATAAATTTATGCAAAAGCATTCTATGGTTGCATTTTCTATAACTGTTGACCACATTCAGACCAAGCAAGCATACTGCAGAAACAGATGGAAAAGGCAGTAGCTTTTTCTTGTATTCCTTGACTGCCAGGGCACAGCTGGAACACATAGCACAAAGGCATGGATAAGGTCTCATAGAAAGTTCCTGACTGGCGGGGGGAGGTGTTCAGTGAATACTTTTATTTGCTAAACAATGCAGTTACAGACAACACCCCAAAATTACACATTTAAGCTCAATTTTGCAAATAGTTGTGGCTAAATAAAGTATTTGGAGAACTTAGAACATATCTGTGGGAATGTCTACACCTGTGCTTTAATGCGCAGTAGCCTATTTTACTATGCATTAAAGCATCAAATTTTAAAAAAAGCTAATATGCTAATGTGCAGTAAAATAGGTTACTGCACATTCAGCATCACTTAAAAAACATGCAGTTTTGGTACTGTGCATTAGGGCAGCCTAATGAATATTTATTTAGTATCTCAAATTGAAGGTACTAAATTTAATGCGCATTAGGAAAAGCACATTAATGTATACATAAACATGTCCTATATTACCTCTAGACTGTGGAAGGGTATGGCATACTTGCTTAGCATGTACTAACTCCCAACATAGCCACATGAGGTAGTGTAGCCACTTGAGAGTGGTGTTGTAAGAGCATCCAAGTCAGAGTGCTTTATGGCATACAGCCAAAGCTGCTCTACTTGAAACCATTATGGAATTTAGTATTTACAGTGCAAGCATGCTGTGCTTCATTGTACCACTCCCTGGCATGGTCCAGAGGTGGTGTAGGCATGCACTTAGATACCATGCACAGAAACAATAATAAAGAAGTGGTGCTAATGCTATTGACCTGCAACGTGGGAGACAAATTCAAAGTAGTTCTCAGAATCACTTAAATCAGAACCAGGGTCTTCCAGGTACCAGGAGTGTGACCCTATATGCCAGGATCTGGGGCATTTTTATGAGGTCCTTTTATTAAACCAACTCTGTAGCTGGGAGAGATTTTGGACAAACTTTTGGGCACAAAGTATAACCTGAGGAATGGCACATTGTGCCCCAAAGCTTATTTAATATCTCTCCCAATTACACATGGTACACTTCAGAATATATTTATATACATAGGTCTTATTTTAATAGATAATACCCTATTTCTCTCTCAATGTCTGGCTTTTTTTCTTTTCTTTTCACCTTTTGGTCCTTTACATTTTTTTAACCCTCTCTTAGATCGGCAAATTTTAAAGGCAGGTTAAAAAAGGGCTCCCACTCCAAATGGTAGTATCTAATAAGTATATAGGATAGTCTGTCCCTTTCTATTCATATGTCATTATAACTTATCATCTTGACCAACCAGGTTAAAAAAAATCTCTTGTTCAATGTGAAATAATGAGATTTATGTCTGTATGTCCCCAACTTACCCTCCCATTTCTCTGTTTTTTTCCTTACAAGTCATCTTATAATGGGATACTCAGGGCTGGTGTACTAAGAATACCAGCTGTATTTTCAGTCACTCAGAAGCATACCAATATTGAAAAAAAAGTTATCCCACTCCTCTTCTCTGTCCTTGCATAATGACTATTATTATGCCCATACTAATTGGCTTACTGTAAATTTAAATTTTAAAAGTTCCAAATGGGTCTCATTCTGATCTCTTATACACTGCTTTTACATATATCTTACTTCATTGTAGATGCTCTTAACAGAGTAGTGCAAAACAGACTAAGCTGTATTATCAAAGATTTCAGTTTTGCAGCCTTTGTTAAAAAGAAATAAGTAGCAAGTTATTTGGAAGATTATTGTAACCATTGAAAAGTTAGGTCATTTTTTTTGGTCAAACAGTTTGCACCACTTTAAAATAAAATATTAAACTTTTATGAGTGATTTTTATTTGCAGCTATAATTTCGAGATAACTATAGGGGAAAAGAAGACATGAATGAAGACTATGGAAACATTAGAAAGAGCCATAAAGTACTAATAAATGAATAATGTAGTGACTGAAGCATTACACACACAAAGCTAAGGACACTTCTTTGTTTGGACGATCACGCACTATAGGAATATTTATACAGTTATTGTCACTTTTTATGTTTGCACTTACCAACCTCCACAACACTAGAACAATTGAGGTCTGTGAAGCCTTCAGGACATTCGCAAGTATAAAAATCATCAGCCAACCCGGACAAACAGATGCCACCATTTTTACATGGGTTGGAGTCACACACATCCCCTGCAAATAACAGAAAGATGCTTAATCTCTCATATATACTTCCAAATACTTTGCATGATAATTTTAACGCAGCTAGATTATTGACAATCCAAGACATACCATAATAATTGTTCCAGATTCCTCTGAACACCTATGATCTGAATGAATTTGACATATTTTTTAAAGTTAAAGCAGTGCTTCTCAACCTTTGTAGACTCAAGATACCCATTGTTAGATTCAAGGCATCCCTTAGAAAATGCTAGCTTTTAACTTTTGCTAATTTTATGACTGTGGAAAAAATAATCAAGCAATTCTTATGTTCCAAAGAACTGAGAAAAACCACAAAAGACTGTGTTTTATGACACTATGGATTCCCTGAAATAGTTTGGGTTTACCTTGTAAACCACATATAACCCTGTAAGCCACTCTCCGCACCCTGGCTCAGAGTTGCTGTTTTAAAGGACAGTCTCTGGTCATACCACTTGCCTCAAAATTTCTTCCCAAGGAAGAGGACAGCAGAAGATAATTCCTTTCCCTCTCTACTTTAGAGAGACACAGGATCGCTCTGCAAACAAACTGGGCTTTTGGGTATTTCCCCCCAACCTGACTCCTGCCTACCTACAAAACTCTCATTTAAATGTGGTGGTACTCTCAAGCTCAGGCTCACCTGCACCTATAGACGAAAAATGAAGTCAGGGTTTCCTTCACGCTGGTAAACCTTTGCAATAAGAATGCAAAATAAGCCTTTTGAGTGTTCTTAGTCTTTCTTTATCTTCCCACAGTTCTATCAATATGCCCAGAAAATCAGTAAGTCCTTCAACAATATATTAGGAAAGAATCAAAGAGTAACTAAACTTACTACAGCACAAAGAGAAATGGGATATGAACTCAGAAGTCCTAGCAATACATATAGGCAAGTGAAAATAAGAAAATTTAAGTCAGTCTCTGCAATGTGGCTGCTTATACCCAAGCTAAGTTAACTCAGAGACTTATCTTCCAAAAACTATTTCTTCTGTGAAGACGTACCCTCAACTGGTCCTCCTTACTGTAGACTCTAGCACTGAGTACATAACTATAGCATAAATTCAGAAAGGAAAATGACAGGTCGCAAAAGGAAAAAAAAAAGTTGGGGTATTAGTCTGTTTGCACATGACTTAAATAGTACCCACATGGAGTTGTTTCATAGTTTACACATCATATAATATATTAACCTGATTTTCTCTGCTAATAACATCCTGTACCAAAATGCTCTGTGCAAGGCATGTGAAGTTTCGTGTAATGAAGGCTGGAACAGAGAATGTGTCCTCCAGAGATGTCCATGGATAGAACTAGTTTGAAAGCATGACATGGCTACTTTAGCAACATAATTAAATAAATACCGGCCACATCTACACAAGACGCCTACTGAGCAGTAGTTCATTACTACTGTGCAGTAGCTAGGGGTGTGCAAAGCGGGCCCTATTCAATTCGGATTTGGATTCAGCCTGAATCAGGGACAGTGATTCGATTTGTTGATTCAGATCACTGTCTCTGATTCGATTCAGCCAAATCTGAATCTGAAGATTCAATGCTGATTCGGAAAATCAGTGATTCGGACATAGACTCAGCTTTAAAAGTTTTTTCTACGTACCTTGAGGTAGCCAGCATGGCTTGTGATCACTGACATGCTGGGGTGCATTCAGCATCCCACAGGAGCCCCCCTCCCCCGCCCCACACTCCTCCAAACCCAGGAGGCACCAGTCACCAAGCTGGAGGGGATGCAGGGGGGCTCCCAGCATGCTTCCTGGTGGACCCAGAAATAGACCGGACGTGCTTCTGGTCCACTTCTGGGTCTGCTGCTGAGCGTGCTGGGGGGCTCCCCATGCTTCTGTGGGATGCTCCATGTGCCTCAGCATCACTGCACTCATGAGCCACCTGCTACCTAGAGATATGTAGAAAAAACATTTAAAGCTGTGTCTGTGTCTGACACACTGTGTCACACACTGACCCCTAACCCTCAATTCGGAGAATCTAAAGGGTCCTCTGATTCGATTTGGAGATTTGGCCACTGAATCAGGCTGAATCTCCACTGAATCAAATCAGGGACTGACACTTCGCACAGCCCTAGCAGTAGCGTCCCTTGGCACAAACCATGAAGTTACTACTATGAAGTAGCGTCACAAGCTTCTGCGCAGTAATAACAGGCTACTGAGCATAAGCATCGCTAGACAGACAACATTCTGGGACATTACTGCACAGTAATGCCAGTTACTATGCAGTCATTTAGTACTTGGTTATGCAAGTACTAAATGACTATGCAGTAATAGCTGTGCAGCAGGCATCCCATGTAGATGCGCCCACTGTGGGTTGAATTATAGGTTAAACCTAGCTGAGCTGCTAGGTAGACACTTCACATACTGCAAATTTGGGACCTCATCTAAAGCCAATTACTAATTGGCTTTAGGTCACACCTTTCATCCATATTATATAATACAATCCTATGTCCCCAGAAAAAAAATGCATGCATCTCCCAGAAGAATACTGTAGAAAGTACCGGTGTTCCAGAGCTCATTGGAAACAATGGAAATACACTACACCTATCAGCTTTAGTAGGCTTTTGGCCAGGTCTGAGATATTAGTTTGCTCTTCAGATATTATGCTACGTTACTAAATTGTTTTGCTCTCCTCTACCATGTAAAGTAGATCCACCCTTCAACATGTATTTTACATATTATAATCTGATTTTATAAACAACAGAAAAATATTTCATGTATTCTGGGATCAGAACACTGAAATTTCCTTCTATGTTGTGTTTTCATATGCTATGTTTTAACATAATGCTAATTTGTACTTCAAACATTTTCAGTTTCTATTTTATGGCATGGAATTTTGTGTGTCAGTCAAAACTGTTGCTACTCATGCATTCAAATTCATAAATCTGAAGGAGATAATTATACCTGTTATATTGCACTTATGACAGGTGATCATTTAGTATTCATATTTTCCATTGGGTTTAATTATAGCTTTAAAATATTGATAATTATTGTAATAAGGCATATCATTCTAATGTCTTCTAAATGAAATACCTTGCAGATTAGTTCTAAACGATATCAGGAAAGACTCATATTCTCTAATTTACAGGTTATAATATTTTGTTTCTTTTTAAGTGACAAAGGTGTCTTATTTTGCATCTAATACTTGTTTAAAGAGAATTGTGGAAAGTGTATTGGTCTATGCCAGAGAGTAGTAACTAGTCAGTGGATTATATTTTGTATTATTAATCACATATGTCGGAGTATAAGGGAGAGAGGGAGAAGATTTCAAATATTTTAAAACACCTTTTAATCATGCAAATTAGCTTCAGGGTCTCAAGTGAAATTTCCAGATTAATAGAATGATCATATAAGAAATGTTCAAGGTACAGCAATTAAAGTGCTTTCCTCTAATGACTATTAAAAAAAACAAACCCCCACCCTAAATTTGAGTTTTGAATATGGAAAGTTTAAGCTACTTTAATGGAATAACTCTGAGGTTGGCAATTACAGCCTGCAGGCTAGACCTACCCCACACAGAGATTGGATTCAGCCTGCCATGGGGTTGTCTGCAGCAAGTTGGGCAGCTAGGGCTAGTGGTCCCCATCATCAGCCTCAAAGCCACCCCTGTGGGGGAGACTATTATTGTAAGAGAAATCTCCGTGTGGCCAGCGGGCAAAGGGTTAACACAATCCTGATACTGCAGTTGCTGCTTTTCTTGCTTGAGAATTTACCTTTGCTGATTGCCGTTCTCAATGAGGCAGCAGTGGCTGTAATGGGGGGCGGGCAAAAGATTCCCACATCTGGCAGCTGCTGCATTAATCCCCAGGCTGCTGGCTGTCCTGACACTTTCTCCCACAACAGAGGTCTCTATCATGGTGGGAGGACATAAGGCTGAGTCGAGGAGAGGATGGAGGCTACCTCTGCTGGCAGCGTTGTGGGGGTGTGGGTGGGCTGGAAGGTATCACCTGCTGGGGATGGATTAGTGGCCTATGATGCCAGCCTGGCACTGGTGAAGGTTGCCAATAGCTGGACTAGAGCATCCTGAAAACTTGTGTATTTAGGTCTGCTTGGTGTTAACAATATATCTTGCCAATTTTACATCTAGGGAAGAAGTATATTGGTTCAAGGAGAAAGGCAATGAGCTGCTTTTCCAGTTTTTAAAGAATTGGACTTTCTTGATTTGGACGTGCATATAATTCATCCTGAAGCTTGTATATCCAGAGCTTTGTTTGGAGAGTAAAGACTGCTAGACCTTATGGAGTTCATTTAAATATTTCTTCAGTGAAAATAAGGTAGTATGGTTCCAGTTAATACTAATCTCAGAGGAGGAAGGCTCTGAGATGTGTATTCTCCACAACATCAACAATTAAATTTGAAGAATACAAATCTGTACAAACCTGTATGGAAGATCCAATGACAATGACAAGGGACTTTTGGATCTAGATAACTGATTTCCTCAATTTGTATTCTGGTCTTTTATTTCACAAATCAAGGACCTAGACATTCTTCATAGGATTAAAGGCCCAATTGTGCTCTCACTAAATTCCAGGATTTCTTTAATACTGACCTTAATGGAAACACAATGCATCCCTAGGTTTTCCATTTCTGGACATTACTTAATATCTAATACCATGACAAGACTGAATAAAATTACCTGGTCATCTTTTATTTGTCTGAAAACTGTTACTGACATTTTCAGCTCATTTTTAGAATATACAAGATGCTTAGTGACCCTGCCTACCGTGTAGAACCAATAGAAGAGATGTGAGTGTTGTCTATAGCAACAATCATTATTACCCACGACCAAGATATGCATGATCTACATTATCTTTTTATTACCCAACTTCATTCCACCCACTAACCCTGGGCCAAATATGTTGTCAGTCACTGGCATACACTTCTTGTCAATGCAATATTAGATTGTAAAATTATGATGAATGTAGTACAGCAATGGCAAACAATGACTGTAGTGATAGCTAAGAGAGTAAACAATGGATATATTCACTAGATTCACTTGTCACAAAATCATGTAAGGCCAAATACTGCCCTGGCTCATACCAGTGTAATTTTGAAGTACTTGATCTATATAATACCTATTACAGTTGTGACCTACCTGTGAGGAATAACAAATGCCAACAAGAATTGCAAGGAGTTCAGTGCATTTTGTCCTGTTGTATGTATTTGTAACTCCTTCTATTTCTCCTTCTCTAATTGT